CTAATCATGTTCTCTCTCCAAGGTCTAGCAGCACTTTTCAAACATTTCTTTAAAAACCGATCATTACTAGGAAGTATTGTGCAGCTCGTTTAGTGCGCCAGAGTGGAACTGGGGCGGAGGGGAAGAGGCACCCTAAAAGACCCATGCAGGAAAGGTTGGCTAATTTGGAAGAGGGACTAATGGGGGACGCGGGAAAGACTCCGAGGCTGGAGCTTTTTAAGTGTTCTATTGGAGTCACCTTAGTTTTTACCGGATAAGAAATGCCCAGTGTGGGCTTCTCGTTCACGTGGAAAGGTTACCAGCGCCGTCCAATCCCTTCCTGACCACTTCTTGTAGTATATACATATAGAGAGAGAGCGAGAGAGACATAGAAGATGAGCCCGGAGGGGACGCGAGAGGAGACTGGAGCCGGGGAGGAGGAGGGAGGGAAGCACGGAGAGAGGGGGAGAGCATTTTCTCTCCGGGGGCGGTAGGTGGTGCGGCCGCCTCCTCGCCCTCGGGCGGGGCCCAGGCCCCTCACGTGCTGCACGACCAGCCCCCGCACCCAGCTCCGCGCACCTCCCACCCTCGGGGCCCGCTCCGGGATCCCGCCAGACGGGGACTGATGGGATCGCAACGCCAGCGGGGCCAGCGACCCAGTGGCGCTCGTAAATGAGTTTCTTAAATGCCATTTTGACAGAACACACGCTACCCCCTCTTTCCTTCTTCCCAGATCCTTACAACTGCAAGCCAACTCCTAGCAAGACTCCATCACTGCCTCCACTCTAAACGTTTCATCCTTGAAGCCGCCTTTCCGAAACTCTCGGGGAGACAGGCGCCAAAGCATTTCCTACCAACCTGTCTCTCATATAAATATGGGGGGTAAGAAAACTTATTAAGGGGGTACGGTTGAGCACCGGACAGCCAGGGCTCCCCACTCACAACTTGCACAGACTCTAGCCTCTCCTCACCCCGAGGCGCCCCGACCTCCAACTCCCCAGAGGGGCCAGGAAATCACTGGCACATTCAGCCATCTCCCGCAGGCCACACTTGCCCTCCCCCAGCCCCGTTTCCAGAGCAGCCGGGGGTCAAAGCCCCAGGCGCCCCTACTGTCCCGCACCCGGCGCTATGGCGGGGCCTCCGGGGCTGGTGGCCGAGACCTCCGGCCGGGAGCATTGTTTACCTCCCGCAACAAAAGCGCACCGAGCGTCCCGGGGTCGGGGGTCGCAGCGGGAAGCCAGCCCACCCCAGCAGTCGCGGGAGAGTCCCGGACGCTGAGTCCCGGCTACGTCCAGCCCGCGCAGAGCGCCGCCTCCCGACCCCCCTCGGGCCTCGGCGTCCGGGTCCTTGCTCCCGGCACCCCTGTCCTCTGCCCCGGCCCCAACTCACCGCTGGCCGGGTCACACTCCCAGGGCAGCGCACGGCCCCCAGTTCCAAGCCTGCACCAGCCCTCGGGCAAACTTTCCAACTGGCGTCCGTCCCTACAACTTTGGAGCCCGGGGCCCCGGCGGGCGCGAGGGGCGCGGGCGGGTCGGGGAGGACGCCTAAGGGCTCCCAGCACAGTCTAGGCCCAAACCCCGGAGGTGGGGAGCGGCTTCCCAAAGGTCCACAGAGGAGAGAGGCAGGTAGGGCTGCATGACTTGGGCGGGGTAGGGGGGTGTCCCGGGGGGGCAGACCCGGGAGTAGAGGGGCCAGCGGCAGCGCGCACAAAGCGGCGCCGGAGCAGACTGCGCGGCCACTCCCCGCCAGGTCAGCCCCCCGGAGCAGCAGTGTCTCCCCAGGACAGATCTCAGGGAGTGAAGCTGGGGCTCTGCCTTCGCTGGACCCTGCACAGTTGAGCGAGAGGCAAAACGCGAGCTGGATTAACCCAAACTGGAGCTGGACTCCCCTCTCGACCCCCCTCTCCCTCCCCCTCCTCCTCCTTCTCCCCTCTCAACTTCTCTCTCTTTTAAGAGGTAGAGAGGTGTCAAGGTTTGTCATTACCTTTTTTCCCAGGGGAGCCTTAGAAAAAGTTTTTAGGATCTCTAAATTGCACGTTTACAGATGCATGAAGAAGGGGCCAGGTCAGAGATGACACCATTGAGCAATATCTAAGTCACCAGCAACGGAAAACCGCCCTCAACACCAAAAAGAGAAACCAGATGAGGACGGTGTTCCTTGACTCTGCGCTGGATGTCTGCAAAGGTCATCATAATATTTCTGTTAGTTATTTGGCAATGGACCTCAGTGGCGGTCATACTCACTTTATGAATGAAGAAATGAAAGGGCAGGAAAAGCTATGTTTTCCACATGAGGAGGAATAACCAGTGGCATTACGCCAGAATTAAAAGTCACTATGGCATCTGAATTTTTCTCCAAATGTTTGATGGTTGTTGCTTCTTCCAGCAGTCATTACACAGACAAGGGAATCCAGGACTTTAATGGGGTCACTGTGATAAGGGAAATGCTGGTTCATGGAACCTTCATTCTTTCCAGGTCAAACTTCAACTGAAAAGAAGATTCAGTCCTTCATTGCCTTTCACACCATTCTACCCGCATTCTGCACTTGGATTTTATTCTTTTTTTTTTTTTTTTTTTTTTTTTGTCACGTGGTTTCACTGTTG